GTTGCAATGAGGAGGAGGAGGAGGCTGGAGGCAGTGGAGATGTCATGTCTGAGGTCAATGTGTGGTGTGAATATAATGCAGAGAATTCATAGTTTGGAGATCAGGAGAAGGTGTGGGATTACCAAATCTGTTATCCAGAGGGCTGAGGAAGGGTTGTTGAGGTGGTTCGAATATCTACAGAGAATGGAACAAAACAGAATGAGTTAGAGAGTGTATAAATCTGTAGTGGATGGAAGGCGGGATAGGGGTTGGCCAATGAAGGGTTGGAGGGATGAGATAAAGGATGTTTTGTATGTGAGGGGCATGGACTTCAAGCAAGCATGTGTGAGCATATTTGATAGGAGTGAATGGAGACAAATAGTTTTTATTACTTGACGTGCTGTTGGAGTGTGAGGAAAGTAACATTTATGAAGGGATTCAGGAAAACCAGCAGGCTCGACTTGAGTCCTGGAGATGGAAAGTACAGTGATTGCACTCTGAAGGAGTGTTAATGTTACAATTTTATAACTGTAGTGTAAGCACCCCTCTGGCAAGACAGTGATGGAGTGAATGATGATGGAAGTTTTTCTTTTTCAGGCTACCCTGCCTTGGTGGGAATCGGCCGATGTGTTAATAAAAGATAATATATATATATGGCATATGATAGTGGATAGAGGAGCAATGTGGCAGATGTTGCAAGTATATGCAATAGGTGGTAAGTTACTAAATGCTGTAAAGAGCTTTTATGAGGATAGTGAGGCTCAGGTTAGGGTGTGTAGAAGAGAGGGAGAATACTTCCCGGTAAAAGTAGGTCTTAGACAGGGATGTGTAATGTCACCATGGTCATTTAATATATTTACAGATGGGGTTGTAAAAGAAGTAAATGCTAGGGTGTTTGGGAGAGGGGTGGGATTAAATTATGGGGAATCAAATTCAAAATGGGAATTGACACAGTTACTTTTTGCTGATGATACTGTGCTTATGGGAGATTCTAAAGAAAAATTGCAAAGGTTAGTGGATGAGTTTGAGAATGTGTGTAAAGGTAGAAAGTTGAAAGTGAACATAGAAAAGAGTAAGGTGATGAGGGTATCAAATGATTTAGATAAAGAAAAATTGGATATCAAATTGGGGAGGAGGAGTATGGAAGAAGTGAATGTTTTCAGATACTTGGGAGTTGACGTGTCGGTGGATGGATTTATGAAGGATGAGGTTAATCATAGAATTGATGAGGGAAAAAAGGTGAGTGGTGCGTTGAGGTATATGTGGAGTCAAAAAACGTTATATATGGAGGCAAAGAAGGGAATGTATGAAAGTATAGTAGTACCAACACTCTTATATGGATGTGAAGTTTGGGTGGTAAATGCAGCAGCGAGGAGACGGTTGGAGGCAGTGGAGATGTCCTGTCTAAGGGCAATGTGTGGTGTAAATATTATGCAGAAAATTCGGAGTGTGGAAATTAGGAGAAGGTGTGGAGTTAATAAAAGCATTAGTCAGAGGGCAGAAGAGGGGTTGTTGAGGTGGTTTTGGTCATTTAGAGAGAATGGATCAAAGTAGAATGACATGGAAAGCATATAAATCTATAGGGAAGGAAGGAGGGGTAGGGGTCGTCCTCGAAAGGGTTGGAAAGAGGGGTAAAGGAGGTTTTGTGGGCGAGGGGCTTGGACTTCCAGCAAGCGTGCATGAGCGTGTTAGATAGGAGTGAATGGAGACGAATGATACTTGGGACCTGACGATCTGTTGGAGTGTGAGCAGGGTAATATTTAGTGAAGGGATTCAGGGAAAACCGGTTATTTTCATATAGTCAGACTTGAGTCCTGGAAATGGGAAGTACAATGCCTGCACTTTAAAGGAGGGGTTTGGGATATTGGCAGTTTGGAGGGATATGTGTGTTCTTTATACGTATATGCTTCTAAACTGTTGTATTCTGAGCACCTCTGCAAAAGCAGTGATAATGTGTGAGTGTGGTGAAAGTGTTGAATGATGATGAAAGTATTTTCTTTTTGGGGATTTTCTTTCTTTTTTGGGTCACCCTGCCTCGGTGGGAGACGGCCGACTTGTTGAAAAAAAAAAAAAATACACACACACACACACACACACACACACACACACACACACACACACACACACACACACACACACACACACACACACACACACACTCACTCACTCTGTGAAATACATTTCCTATTCATAGAGTGTATGTTATTCCATAGGAGACACAATAGCTCTGTACTATACATTTTTTGAATAGGAAAGAGTAAAAACATTTTTAGAGCATTTTAATTGTTGTTATCATACTGTTACTTTTCAGTGGTGGCAGAGTTTTTGATGTATTCGCAACAAAAATTTATCAAGGGACAAGTATTGGATCCTGTTTCTGAGAACTTCAATGATGCTATCAACCCCATAGTATCAAAGGCTGCAAGATTTGTGGGACTCGATTTTGATTATCGTAATGATTACATCTATTACTCTGATGTTAGCTTAGATGTAATTTACAGAGTGAAGAGAAAAGGAACAGGTAAGCATTACAGTGAATTACTGTATGTTATCAAGCTGATTCATGTAGATGCAGAATTTATATACAATAGTTACCTATTTGTAGCAACAGGAGCAGAGTTGTGCTCATGGTGTTCTGTCTTCATTAACAGGTTCATCATTTATTTTCAAATTTCATATGTTTGTAGCACTGCACTGACTATGTCCTTTCAGTTTATTCCACTCACAGTATCTCTTTAAATCTACTTTTTTTCTATATTTGCCTCTGTGGACTCTTGTTATACCTGTTGAATGTATTAAATAATAGAACTTGTTTATCAGTTCTCTCACAGATTTTATAACTTTGTCTTATATCTCCTTGTTTTCTACCATCAGCCAGCATGGGCTTCTTCATCATTACTTGTATTTTTGGCTTTGAGAGTCATTTTGTTACTCTTCTTTGGGCTTTTAATATATAAAGAGGTGGAATGTTTGTATGTACAGTGGACCCTCGACCAACAATTTTAATCCATTCCAGAGAGCTTGTCCTTAGCCGAATTTATCGTTAGCCGAATTAATTTTCCGTATAAGAAATAATGGAAATCCAATTAATCTGTTCCAGACACCCAAAAGAATGATTTTTTTTTTCACATGAAATATTCATTTTCCTACACAGAAAACAATGATACAAGCACAATAAATACTACATGAATAAATGACACTTACCTTTTTTGATGATTTATTGATGAGTGATGAGATGGGAGGAGGGGAGATGATGGAGGTGTATTATTTTTTGGAAGGGGAACCCCCTTCCATAAGGACTTTAGGTACCAAGTCCTTTTCTGGGGTTACTTCCCTTCTTTTTTTAATGCCACTGGGAACAACTTGACAATCACTGGAGCTCTGTTGCACCAAAAATCTGTCCATAGAGCTCTGTACTTCGCATTCCTTTAAGATTTTCCTAAAATGGGCCACAACATTGTTGTAAAAGTCACCAGCACGGCTTGCAATAGCTGTGTCAGGGTGATGTTCTTCCATAAAGGCTTGCACCTTTGTCCACATTGTACAAATGTCCTTAATCGTTGAAGAAGGCAACTTCCTCAATTTCTCTCTCCTCTCTTCTGAAGCAGTTTTCTCAGTTGTAGCCTCTTGCTGTTGCAGATGCTCTTGCAGCTCATCAGTGGTTAGTTCTTCATCATCCTCCTCCACCAACTCTTCCACATCCTCCCCACTAACCTCCAACCCCATGGGCTTCCCCAATGCCACAACAGATTCCACATTCTGGCCACAATTTCCTCCAAGCAGAGTTCAAGGTTCTGTTAGTCACTCCCTTCCAAGCCTTACCTATAAGGTTTATGCAATTGAGGATACTAAAGTGATCATTCCAAAAGTCTTTTAGGGTCAGTCGAGTGTTTAAAGTCACTTCAAATCACTTTTGAAACTTAAAATGACCTGCTGGTCCATGGGCTGGAGGACAGGAGTGTTATTAGGAGGCAAAAACTTCACTTTTATTAAGCTCAACTCCCCCAAAATTTGCTCTGGCAAATCTGAAGGATGAGCAGGAGCATTGTCTAATACCAGGAGGCACTTAAGGTCCAATTTATTTTGCAGGAGGTAGTTTTTCACAGTGGGGCCAAACACATGATAAAACCAGTCATAGAAAATGTCCCTAGTGACCCATGCCTTACTGTTTGCCTTCCACATCACACACAAATTAGCCTTGATGACATTGTTTTCCTGAACACACTGGGAGTTTCAAAGTGATACATAAGTAGAGGCTTCACTCTGCAATCCCCACTATATAAAGTGACCCTGTCCTTCATAGGCTTGTGTCCTGGGAGTGCTTTATACTCCTGTGTAATGTAGGTCCTGTTTGGCATTTTCTTCCAAAACAGGCCTGTTTCGTCACAATTAAACACTTGTTGGGGTTGCAATCCTTCAGCCTCTATGTACCCCTGGAATTACTGCACATATTTTTTAGCCGCTTTTTTCTCCAAACTGGCAGCCTCACCATGCCTTATCACACTGTGTATGCTGCTACGATTCTTAAATCTCTCAAACCAGCCTTTGCTGGCCTTAAATTCACTCACATCACCACTAGTTGCAGGCAATTTCTTTTCCAAATCGTCATGCAACTGCCTAGCCTTTTCACAAATAAGCGACATCATAAGACTATCTCCTGCTAATTGTTTCTTGTTTATCCCCACCAATAATAACTTCTCAACATCTTCGAGTACTGGTAATCTCATTTTTGTCAGCATATTTACCCCCTTTGCAGCAACAACATCCTTGATTTCCTTTTTCTTGGCTATGATGGAAGATATGGTTGTACGGGATTTGTTATACATCCTGGCCAGTTCGCCCACACGTATGCCACTTTCATATTGTTCAATGATGCTTTTCTTAAATTCAGTCATATTTCTCACCTTCTTTACCAAAGGCTTGGCACTAGGAGCTTTCTTTGGAGCCATGGTAGCTTATTTAGCACTTGCAAGCACTAAAATGAATGGAATATTATGAAATATTTCGTATGAACACATGAGGGGACCGTCACTCACTGGTAAACAATGGCACACTGGCTGGGAAGGGAGGACGACGCGGCTCAGAGCCATGAGTACGCGTCCAGGATGAAAGACGATTAGCGAGTTAACGGACCATTTGCGAGCCAATGTTTAGATGAAATAACGGGACTATTTCCGAAATGGATGACTTTCAGGCCGGACGATTATTGAGGGACCATTGTATATATCAATGATATTGATGAGGGAATTACTAGTGAAATGAGCAAATTCACCAATGACACAAAGATAGGTAGGATAATTGATTCAGACGTTGATGTCTCACAACTTCAGGAGGATTTAGACAAACTCAGTACCTGGTCAGAAAAGTGGCAGATACAGTTCAATGTAGATAAATGCAAGGTTCAGAAGGTCGGGAGTGTCCATAACCCTAGCACTTACAAGTTAAATAATGTAGAACTTAGCCATACTGATTGCAAAAAGGACTTTGGGGTTATGATAAGCAGTAACCTTAAACCAAGACAGCAATGCCTAAGCGTACGTAATAAGGCAAACAGATTACTGGAGTTCATATCAAGAAGTATAAGCAACAGAAGTTCAGAAGTTATACTACAGCTTTATACATCATTAGTAAGGCCTCACCTAGATTATGCAGCTCAGTTCTGGTCTCCATATTACAGAATGGACATAAATTCATTAGAAAACATTCAGCATAGAATGACTAAATTAATACATAGCATTAGAAATCTTCCTTATGAAGAAAGATTGAAGACCCTTAAATTACATTCACTTGTTAGGCGAAGAATGAGGGGGAGACATGATCGAAGTGTATAAGTGGACGATGGGTATTAATAAAGGGGATATAAATAAGGTCTTGAGGATATCTCTCCAAGAGAGAACCTGCAGTAATGGATTCAGATTAGACAAGTTTAGATTTAGAAAGGATATAGGAAAGTATTGGTTTGGAAATAGGGTAGTTGATGAGTGGAACAGTCTGCTTAGTAGGGTTATTGAGGCTAAAACCTTGGGTAGTTTCAAATTTAGGTTGGATAAATACGTGAGTGAGAGGGATTGGATTTGAGTGGGACTTGCATATGAGTGGATAGAGTTATCAGAGCTTATTTCTTACGTGGCATTGAAAATTTGGTTTGGCAAATATTTTGTTAGTGGGATAGATTGTAAAGGACTTGCCTAGTATGGGCCAACAGGCCTGCTGCGGTGTTCCTCCATTCTTATATTTTTTTGTATGTTCTCCAATGAGTCTATATCCATCCTGTAGTAAGGAGACCAAAACTGAGCGGCATAATCTAAATGAGGCCTCACCAGTGATGTATAGAGTTGTAAAATAACTTTTGGATTTCTGTTACTTATACTTCTTGAAATAAAGGCTAGTAATCTGTTAGCCTTATTCGGCACACTTAGACACTGCTGTCTTGGTTTTAAATTTCTGCTTACCATGACTCCCAAGTCTTTTTCATATTCTGTATGATCAAGATCTACTTCACCTAGTTTATAGCTTCGAGGGTTATTTTCATTCCCACTTCATTTTTCAGACCAAGACATTAATTTGTCCAAATCCTCCTGGAGTTCATTGGAATCCTTCTCAGAATGAATCATACAGCCTATCTTTGTATCATCAGCAAATTTGCTCATGTCATTTGTAATTCCTTCATCAAGGTCATTAGTGTAAATTATGAACAACAGAGGGCCTAAAACTGATCCTTGTGGAATGCTACTAGTGACTAATCCCCATTCAGATTTGACCCCATTAATGGAAACTCTTTACTTTCTGTCGGTAAGCCATGCCTCTATCCATGCTAGAACTTTACTTCCTATACCATGAGCTGCCACTTTTCCTAAGAGTCTCTTGTGAGGTTCTCTACCAAGGCTTTACTAAAATCCAAATAAACAATATCATATTTTTTATCACTGTTTACTGTCTGAAATGTTCTATTGAAGAACGTCAGTAAATTTGTCAGGAAGGAATGACCTCTCGTGAACCCATGCTGAGATTCATTAATCAAATTATGTTCTTCGAGGTGACTTCTAATTATGTTATCTATAATTGATTTTAATAATTTGCCTACTGTAGGTAGTAGGTTGGTAGCAACCGCCCAGGGAGGTACTACCGTCTTGCCAAGTGAGTGTAAAATGGAAACCTGTAATTGTTTTACATAATGGTAGGATTGCTGGTGTCTTTTTTGTCTAATAAACATGTAAGATTTCAGGTACATCTTGCTACTAATGCTTACACTTAGGTCACACTACACATACATGTACAAGCATATATACACACCCTTCTAGGTTTTCTTCCATTTTTCTTTCTAGTTCGTATTCTTGTTTATTTCCTCTTATTGTCGTAGTACCAGGTACCAGTAACCAGGGCTAGTAACCCCTTCTCCTGTTTAAATTACTAAATTTAAACAGAAACTTTTGTTTTTCTTTTTGGGCCACCCTGCCTCAGTGGGATATGGCCAGTTTGTTGAAAGAAAAAGAAGAATTTGCCTACTATAGATGTCAGGCT